CTTTCATTTAGAATGGAAGGACAGATAAGGTGCTTCTCAGATAAGATCAAATTCAAGGAGTTCATCATCACCAAACCCTTATTATATGAAATGTTAAAGGGACTTATCTAAGAAAAAGAAGTTAAAGAAACATGAACAGTGAAAGGACAACAAACTCACAGTTATTAACAACCACACCTAAAACAAAAGCAAACTAAAAGGACAGCTAGATCAGGAGTGGAAACATAGAAATGAAGATCTCAAGGAGGGTTAGCAACAGGGGAGTGGGAGAAGGAGAAGGGGGGAGAAGGTACAGAAAATAAGTAGCATAGACAGTAGATAGAAAATAGATGGGGGGGCAAGAATAGCATGGGAAATATAGAATCTAAAGGACTTGAGACACATGGTCATAAACTAAAGGGGGGTAATGGTGGGGATGCAGGGGTAGGGTGGAGGGGAATGAAGGGGGGAATAGAACAACTGTAACAGCATAATCAATAAAAAATTAAAAAAAAGAAACAAGGTTATCTTTTCAACTTCTTATGAGATAATAGTCCTATCCGGTTAGAGTACTACCATTTTGACCTCCTTTTAAGCATCATTACTTTCTAACACCATTATCTCTAGATATTGTCACCTTGGGGGATAGAACTTCCAGATATGGATTTTTTGGGAGACACAGTTCAGTTCGTAACTAAATTAACAGCAAATAAATATAAACAGAGGTTTGGGATTTATATTTATCATTTTCTTTCTTTCTGACTTTACTGTCTTGGTTTGTTTGGGTTTTTTTTTTTTTGGCTTCTTGAGTTAAACATGTAGCTAATTTTCTTTACTTTTTCTTCTGTTTTGGGTAAGTATATTGAAGATTTCATCTGTATTGTAAGTTGCTTAATCCTTTCCACCAGATTTTGCCATGGAGTGCTTTCAGCTCTCAGCATTCCCTCGTTTTCATGTGAGATCTTTTCCAGTGTGAGGTCCTGGACATTCATGAGCATTACTGTTAGGTTTTGCTCCTTTTGCAAGTGTATAATGTCCTTCATTGTCACCATGTTGGTTTTCCCAGGAGGTTTACCTCCAGATTTCTATAAATACACTTTTTTAAATTGACAGGTCAAAGATATAATGGAGAGAGATATTGTCTATATATGCAATGTGAGGCGAGGTTTCTGCTATAGTGCTGGGACAGTGTAGACTTCTGGTCTGTCATTCATCCACCTCTGCGAAAGGAAACTCTAATCTAGGCTTGCTGAAGTTATTTGGTTAACGGAAGAAGAGATTAATAACATGTGTGGTTTCTTCAGTCAGATAGTAAAGGTTGTGTTGTATTCATAGCCAACCATCAAGACTTAGGAACTGAAAACCAAGGTGTATTTCTCAATCATGCTTCCTTGTCATCAGCACCGAGATCATTGGTGTCTGCACTCACTGTGGAGGACTGAGCAGATGGAAGCTAGAACATGCTCAATCCAACTTCTCGCACAATTGTCAGGCAGGAAAAACCTACTTCCACTGGTAATCTCCCCCCTGCCTGGCACAAGAGACAACCTCACTCCTCCTCAAGCTACATTAGCCAGTGTCACAGAGTCACACCTACCTTTAAGGGGCCAAGAAAATACATCCTTTCTGTGGGCCACCAAAGAACCAAGAATATGTGGTGAGTGGCATTAACGACAGCCTTACCCTGTATGCTCTATGTTTCCAAAACCTGATTTTTTGCTTTTTGTTTGTCATTTTTTTAGAAAGCTCCCTTCAGTTATGTGAGTTATCACACAACCTTCTAGTAAATTTCTTTAATGAAAAACTAAACAAAACTGAAGTTAGCGAAAGTTAGTTTCTGTTGCTTTAAAAATGTTTAGATGGCATTGGACTTGGCATGATGAATGCCACTGAGCAGATTAGGAAAGTGGACTTCAGTTCACATACTGGGCTGGTTTTGACAAAAGGGTACACACATTTTTTTCAAGGATAAGGTTTTACTGGGAGCAGGCATGGCATGAGCCAATATTTAGATTCAAATAATTATTGGTAGCTACCACACATTAAGCAGGAGTCCTGTTATTTTTGTATATTTTTCTAAGTCAATTTCACTCTTTACACAATCTGTGGTGAGTCTTATCCATAATCGTATATGTAGAAAATGAAGTGTAGGGAGGTAAAATGACCTGTCCGAAAGCCACTTAGCTGGCAAATGACAGCTTTGTTCTAATTTTATCATCGTATCATATGGAGGGAACCAGAATAATGCAATGCATGTTAGAGTACCGTGCACTCATTGGTTTGGCAGCACTGTGAGATACGTGAAGTGTGGGAGTGAACCTTGAATACAAAGGGAAGGAGGTTGGAGTTCATTAGTGAGTCAGTGAGAAGAAGGTTCCTGAGTTAGAGAGGGTACTAGTAGCTAGCTGCCTAGGATCAGTAGCAATGAGGCATGCTGGAGGCCTGGACACCAACTGGAGGAATATTGTGAAAACTCAGTCTGATTGAGCATGGGTGTTAGCTGTGGAAACAGAAAAAACCTTCTATCTAGTTTCTAGACCCATTGGGGATTGCCGAAGTTTTGAGTTCCCCTTGTGTAGATAGCCCCTACTTTTCACTACAGGTCCCTTAAGAACCTGCTCCGAGAAAAAGCCTGGGTCAAGAGAAGAAAAAATAATAGGTACCAGCCTAAGGGAGAAGTCTACAAAGTGCCTCTCCCACAAAACCAATTCTCCCCCATCAGTTGTAGGGCCTAACATTTCATCCATGGACTCCATTCCTTCTCGAGCCTTTTATTCAAGTGTGACTATTTGGGGACCAGAGGGAACAGGGATCCTGGGAAGTTTCTTCATTAGCAATCTACAGGCAAGTAACATACACGCAGGGGAGCAATCTGGGCAGCCGCCATGAAGAACAGGGCACACACCCTCTGCCTAAAGCGGGCTTCTCAGCTCTGACCGAGGGGCCCAAAGTTGCTGGATCTGCTATTTCAATAGCAACGTTGTATCTAGATATTTTTTGGGGAAATCCCCAATTTAAAAATATTCCAACTGTTTAAAATTTCTTCATATGACTGTGCTGGCCACATTCACTCTCAGTTTGCCATCTCTGGGTTAAATCCTAATACCATTTTGTCGAAATCTTTCTAAATTTGAAAGCACATCTTTAGCAAAATTAGATTAGAGAACAGGTGCTTTGGATTGCTGAGAGGGCAGGTAGAGAGTGTGGGCACTACTTGTGCAGGAGGACCCTGGGCCACACACTGGGTGTCCTCGTGCCTGGACCTTGAAAGGGCTATGGGCCTTGGCAGTGGCAATATTTGCTGCAACCAGGGCCTCCTGGCTGACCACCCTGAACTGGGTGGGAGTGCACAGAGGGGTGGGTAAGCTTGTGCTCCCCTCAGCTCCACTGGGCTCCTTCCCATGAACAGTGCAGTAACCCAGTGGTGTGGTATTTGAAAAAGCATCCCTAGTTACACAGGATGATTTACAGGACACCAGACTCTGCATTTTAGAGGTCTCCAGTGTACCATAAAAAATACACTGTAAAGGAAGAATCTGTATCAGAACTGAAGCGGCAGTGAAGGAAGCTCATGTCCAGCTGAGAGCAGCAGTGAGCTTTTGTTCACTCAGGGAAAAGTCCCTGTTTTTCATCCTATTTGATTAACATTTTTCTTCCTCTTTGGCATTAGATATCTAGTTAATATTTAGACATTGTATACATTTTCTTTCAACTGTTGTATCCATTATGTGAGCAGACAGAACCAGCAATGCCAACCACACCACACCTGTCAGACACCCAGCTGTGGCTAGCAAGATACTAGGGACGCCCTGGAGCCAGGCCCTGGCAGGGACTGCGCAGGGACAGCCCCTGTCGCCAGGAAGCAGAGTCGCCCAGCTTGTGCCTGTTTATTAGGTGTTTAGAGCTATGACGGCCTCAGTCTATTTCAGTCCAGGGAAATCTGAATTTCTTTAGCCGCAATGTCCCTAAGGGACACAGGTGTAACTGTGGTTAAGCAGGGACAGTCTCATCTCTTGGGGCAGAAAGCAGTCACGTGGTGGCAGGACAGAGGCAAAAGCTCTGGAACAGGAATACCTGGGGGTCTGTGTCAAACCTTCACCCATTAGGAGGTCCAAGATAAGATGAGGAGGCTGGAAAGATGGAAGTTGGGATGGGCAAGCTGTTATGGAGAAGATATTGCTCCTGGGCCAAAGGCAGGAGGATATCCAGGGCGAGAGAAGGGTGGGTCAGAGACCAGCAGAGTTTGCCTGGAGTCCCAGGAGAAGGGGAAGAAGCCAGAGCTCGCCAGCCTCCGGCTCCCGGGTGCACCGTAGCAGTGACAGGCGGCGGGCTCTACGTCCCAAAAAGTACTGGGAGAGGATGGAGAACACAGAGTCCCAGGCTCCTGAGAAGGGGAAACCGCAGGGCTGGGCGGGGAACACCTCCAGTGTGTTTGGGTTGAGGCGGCGGAGGGGGCGTGGGGGACACGATCTCCGTTTCCTGGGCGCCCCAGTCCTGCGCTCGCCTCCGCTCCCGCGCCCCCTCCGCAGGCGCGCGCTCGGCGCACTCCCTCGTCCCTCGGCGGCGCGAGGCGCGCGCCCGGCCCCAGACCTCCACTCGGCGCCGCTCTGCTCTCCCAGCAGAAAGTTAGCAGCGGGGATGGAACTCGGGGCTGCAACAGCGTACAGCGGCGGCCGAGGCTGAAACAGGACCCGCGGTCCAGCCGAGAAAAGGAGGCGCTGCAGGCAGAGCAGGTGCAGCCGGCGGGTCCGCGCGCCCCCCTCGGTCCCCTTGCCAGAGGCTGAGGGGGGGTGGTGGGGACCACCGGGACTCCGCGGACAGAGCGGGTAGGGGGGCCATGCGGCCGGGCTTCCCCGCGGCTCAGCGGGACAGCGGCCAGGGCCGGGGGCGCAGCGGAGTCGCTCCATGCAGCCCGGGCGGCTGGGCAGCAGCGGCGGCGGTGGCGGCGGCGGCGGGGGCGGCGGCTGAAACCATGTCCGGGCAGCGCTGGGGGCCGCCGCCGCCGCGAGCCGGGAGCCGCGATGGCCCGGTGGCCCGCACCTCCTCCGCCTCCGCCTCTGCCTCCACCTCTGGCCGCGCCGCCACCGCCCGGCTCCTTGACTAAGGGGCCGCCAGCGCGGAAGCTGCTGTTTATGTGCACCTTGTCCCTGTCCGTCACCTACCTGTGCTACAGCCTCCTGGGCGGCTCGGGATCCCTGCAGTTCCCCCTGGCACTGCAGGAGCCGGCGGGCGCTGCCGCCGAGCCCCCGCGGAGCCCGCCGCCGCCCTCTCTGCCGCCTCCCCCCGTGCGCCTCGGCGCCCCCTCGCAGCCGCCCGCGCCGCCGCCGGACAACGCGAGCCTCCGGGAGCCGCCGGAGCCCCGTGAGCAGGCTGCCGCCCCCGGAGCCGACGGCTGGGGGCTGGCGAGCGGCGGCAGCGGCGGCGGTGGCGCCCGGGACGCCTGGCTCCGGCCCCCGCAGGCCCCCAGGGAGATGACCACGGCTCAGAGCTTGTTACTGGAGAGGGAAGCGCAGGAGTCCAGCACCACGGACGAAGACCTCGCAGGCCGGAGGGCGGCCAACGGGAGTAGCGAGCGGGATGGCGCCGCGAGCACCCCGGACTACGGGGAGAAGAAGCTGCCACAGGCGCTGATCATCGGTGTCAAGAAAGGGGGGACCCGCGCGCTGCTGGAGGCGATCCGCGTACACCCGGACGTGCGGGCGGTGGGCGTAGAGCCACACTTCTTCGACAGGAACTATGAGAAGGGGCTGGAGTGGTACAGGTAGGACCCCGGGCTTGGCTGGTGGGGAGACGCAGAGGGGAAGTCCAGGCGCCGTCCTGATGGTCCTGCGCTCCACGAGGACTTAGCGAACCCTGGCGGGGTTGCGTGGGGCGCGGCGGAGAGGGCGGGGGCCCAGCTAGGAATCACTTTATTTAAAGGAGAGGGCAGAAGGTGGCAGTGGGCTCTGTCCGCTTGGGCTCCTGGTCCAGGTAGCTGCTTTCCGAATCTGCGCAGCTTCACGCGGGGCGACCCGAGCCCTCGTGCCCTCAGAGTGTACCCCAACCCAGGCTCTTGAGAGGCTCTGGGCTTCTGTGTTCTCAGCATGCCCGGACGGGCATGCTGAGGAGTGAGGCAGGACAGCGCTGCTGACTAAAGGACTTTGAGATGGCCGGGAACCTCACAAAATTGCCTTCGAACCCATTGCTTGGCTGGAATCCAACTTTAAGTATGTTCAGGTTAGAGAAAAATGAGCAGGGAACCTTTAAAAAGATGGTGCTGCCAAGTTCGGACTTTCTAGTAAAGACTGAGGATGTTCCCCAGCTCCAGGACTTTCTGTCGCCTGTGGCTCAGTGAACGCTGGGCTGTCTTTGCCGCTGGAGCATTAATGTGGACGTGACAGTGGTGCCTTAAGAGGACTCATGCCCTGCACCCCTGCCCTTTCGCAAGACTGGAGCTTCCTTCTCGCCAGATGTTCCCCTCCCTCCTGCCCCACCCTCTGCCAGCGGTGAGAGAAAGGGAGAACAGGCCACTAGAAACTTAGCGTAGGTGAAATAAATTCATAACCCATCTTTCTTGCCAGCCGTAACATTTAAAACAGCACTGGTGTGGGTGCCCGAATGCAAACCTGCTTCGGTTTTTTTTTTCTTTCCCTCTTTCCTCCTGTTTTATATCCCTTTGGAAAACAGATCTGGCTGGTTGGCCCCATCTCTGTTGCATCTCAGTAATTAATTGCAATTGTCAAACAGAAACACAGGCTTTCCCTGTTAAAGTGATGTTATCATGTTAACAGAGCCAAGAGGTAAAGATTGTTTCCTAACAAGTTGCTTTCCTGTTGAAGAGCGATGGGCTTCTTAAGTTTCAATTTACATCCTGGGAAAGTTTTAGCAATAACTTCAGAAATATATAATGAATGTGTGCACTGTGATTGCTTTTCACCCTACTTTTAAAAATATGCCTTGTGCTTTGAAAACTGAAAAGAAGTACACTTAGGCATAAACATTCCAGCACATTGAAAGGAAACAGCAAATGTGTCTGTTAAAGTCATGTCTGTTTCAACACACAGAACTAATTGCAGTATTTTAGGCAGCTTCACACAGTCCCTTCCTATCAAAATATAAAACAGCAAATGCCTAATCTAACTGGAAAATCAGTATTTAGAACATCACAAGCCATGACTTCCAGTTTGCAATTACCATTAAAAAGGTGTTAGGATGATTGATGCAACCATAGCAAAGCACAGAAAAAGGGCATGTTGTCTGGGGAGGGTCCAGTTAATCGTTGGTTGTGGGAAGGTCCTGGCTTCTTCTGGGGGGAGCTTTGGTCTTATGAGGGTAACTGGCTTTTCCCCCCACTTCTAATTTTAAAGCCGTATATCTTGTGAGAAGTGTTCTTGGGAAGAGGGAGGCATGGCATAATGATCAGATCTTTCCAAAGTGTGTTTGGGTAGCTTTGCAGCAGCTGGAAGCAGAAGCGGGTGTTTGATTGAGATGACTTACAATAAAGTTGATGGTCGATGGAGGGTGTGGTGGAATGCATGTCCAGAAGTCCGACAGTAGGGTCTGGAGGACATTCTGACCGAAAGGATAGAAGATGCCTGGTTTTTTGGATGTTCGTTTACATTAGGCTGTACAAGAAGATACATAAACTACCTGGCTGTCAGGACTTGGCTGTGGAAGGTACCTCAGCACTGTGGTGTTTGGGGCTCAGCGTCAGCATTTGGTAGCTACCCTTAGAGATGTTGTACTGCAGAAATGTAGATGGAACTTGAGGACCGTGTGGTGTCTCTGTGTCCTCGGCCCCTAGCCCAGGCTCTCACCAGCGGTGGGTCCCTACGTGGCTTAGCCGTGAGACTGGAAGTGCTGGAGAAGAACTATCAGATGCAGAGGGAATCGTAGCCACCAACGCCTGGGTGTTGAGATGACTCCCAGAAAGCCCTCGCACGCACAGGGGCCACGTGTGCTGGGATGACTTGGTCATCTCTTTCACCTTACTAGGGATAGCAGAGCTTTCAGGGTACCTGTGGGAATTACCTTAGCTCTGTTGCAGGCTCCTGTTTCTCTGTTCCGTGAGAGAAGAGGGCGTGACATCCTCACTGTATTGTAGAGAGGAAGCAGTGCCACTGATTCAGACTAGGAGCAGAGACCCTTGATTTTGGTTCCTTGGTGTGATTCCATCTTTTCAGTGGTGGCCTCTGGACGGAAATGGTTCCACTTGCTTCCCGAACTCCATGTATCCTGTCTGGAATCTTACTCTTCTATGTGCCCCATTAAATTCGAGGGTTTGATTCTCCTTGTACTTATTTTTTTTTCTTTGCAATGTGCTTCCCAATGGCCTACTAATTCTGCGAGTGTTTCTGAGGTTTGTGTTTTCTGCAAGAGGGGGAGAAAAAAGAAATGGGGGCTGCTCTCTGCAGAGCTGGTCTGGGCTTTCCTCATATCCAGCTAAGCAGCCCTAGCAGCTTTATTCGGTATCACTCCATTTGTGTGTAAATCCATGTTTTGCTTTCTCCTGTGCTGTTGATCTAATGCGATTTAAAAACATTTGGGATTAGAACATGTGCATTAGATTTTCAGGCCGAGATAGTCTCTTGGATTAGGTGTTTGTGTTACAGCTGCAGAGAAGCAAGCTTCTGTTTGTGGACCAACCCAGGCCAGCGATTAATAAGGAGGCTTGGGGGAAATATATTACACCCTCTCCTCCCCTCCCACCCCCACCCCTGCCACAATAAAAGGGCAAAGCTACAATGTGCTTTTCAATAAAAGCTGCCACAAGCTGTCTGGGCAGAGGCCTTAAACCCCTCTAAGGGAGGGAACCTGGTGGCAGGCCTGTCATGGCAGAACTCAGCAAAGTGACAGAGGCAGCTGGAGCTGTTTCCTCCCTTGTGGTTTAGACTGTAGAGTGACCATGACCACCTTGCTTTTTGAAAACTACTCAGCCCCAGGGTGATGGAAAGTGATCCTCCATGGTTTCAAGTTGTCGTTACTGCACACAGTTAATACACACGTCACACTGGCTTGGGGAAGATACTGTCAGGAGACGGTTTCAGTAGTCACTGTCATACTCCCCAAAGGAAAGTGGCCAACAGCATTCTTTGTACCTGGGTATCTTGAGAGATGGAAGAAGGACAAGACACTGGCATTTATTGAATGCCTGTCATTGTGGTGGTTGGCGTTTTATAAACATGCGATCACATTTGAGTGTCATGATGAGGCTGTGAGCATAACGGCAACTCTGCTCTTTCACAGGTGGCTCCCGAGGTAAAAACTTGCTGAGGGTTTCTCAGCTAGTCCACGGTGAAATGACCAAGTCTATCCCATTGCAGAGTTTCTTCCCCTGCCCCACACTGCTGCACATAACACACTAGAAGGGTCTTCTTCTTCCTATAGTGTTTCACTCAACGAACATTTATTAATATTTACCATGTTTCTAGTACTGTTTCAGGTTCCTGGGATAAAGTGGTGAGCAAGAGTGATGAAGCACCGGTTCTGGAACTGACGTTTCAGCAGGGGGTGGGTTAGGGAGAGACAGCAAACCAACAGACTTTCTTTTTACCTTTTTTCATGTGGCTACTAGAACATTTAAAGTTACACTTATTACTCACATTTCATTTCCACTGGGCAGGGCTCCTGTAGAGCAGTGGTCTTAAACTGTAAACATGCACAGATCGTCTGGGGGGGATGTTGTTAACATGAAGATTCGGATTCAGCAGCTTTGGGGAGGGACCTCACATCGCGTGTTTCTAACGTCCCACGTGATAATGATACTGCTGGTTCCTGGGCCTCACTTGGAGCAGCAGGGGCTTAGAGAGTGACTGGTGCACACATGCCTTATTGCGCTTTGAATCAAATGATCTGGGAGCTCTTCTCTGTGGTGGTGTTAGAAATGAAGTGAGGGAGTGAGGTCCTCCCATGTGAAGATCTGGGTGGAGAGGTTTTCAAGTGAGGGAATAGAAAGTGCGAAGGTCCTGAGGTGGAAATAAGCCTTGAGGACCTCCAGAGTGTTCTTTTATTATTTCCAAAGCATAGCATTTGTAGCAGAACCAAACTTTGTTCAAAATCTGGCTTTCTCACTTACTAGTTGATGATTTTGACTGGGTGACTGATTTAACATCGCTAAGCTTTAGTTTGTTTATCTGATTGTCATTTCTTCCTTGCGGGATTGTTGGGAGGAGTAAAGGAAATAATGCAAGCGAATATATTTTCTAAACGAAGAATGAGTGTGCTACAACAGAAACCCAAATGGGCCCAAACTGGGTTTTCCCATTTCCCAAATCACCTTGGTCTCCTACGGTTTTCTTTCTGTCGTGCTGCTGTAATGTTGGCTGGAATGCCTCTTTATTGGGTATGCTTTGGGGAACATTGGCTTTGCCATCTCTATCTGCTTAACCTTTTAAACCAGGGGTCACTGAGGGCCCACAGGAGTCCTCTAAACTAGTGGAGTGAACCAGCTGGAAGAAACAGGAGTGTGTACCTTCTGTCTGAAGGGGGTCCACCCCTTGCTTCCCGCTTCTCTTGTCCATGCTCAGGTGTTGTATCAGGGTTACCGACTCTCCCACTCGGTGAGAGGAAGTGGTCATTAGGTTTTAATGTGAAATCTGGTTTTTAATGTTGGCAACAGAATGAAGTTTCTTAAAAGTATTGTGTAGGCCAACAGTGTTAGGCAAACAAAACCCATCTCTGGGCACTGGCAGCTGGCTACCTCTTGGCATCCACTGCTTTAAGCCCATTTCAGAAAGTAATAGGGATACGTAGCCCCTTGGCAGTTGCCAGAATTGTTGCTTA